TGGTGCACGATCCAGTTTAAGCTAAACTTTATCTGCTGGACAAATCGCCCCACGGTTGTCTCAATGTGCCCGGGCTCTGTAGCAACAAAACAAGCCCTCATCACCTTTGTGTTTGACGGTTGGTAGGAGGTGTTTGTGCTGATAGGCGGTTTGGTTTTTGCCAAATGTGGTGCTTTTCATTTGGTCTGATCTGTTTTGGTCTAATTTGTTCAGATGCAACTTTGTAAACCCAGTCTGTGCTGCCATGTACCTTCTAGACACAAAGATGCTGTATTGATGCAGCCTTTTTCTAATTGGACTGTTATGAACCTTAAAAGAGTCTGAGATGTGGCTATGTTTTTGTTTCTTTTCAGTGTCTCTGAGGATTGCGTTGTCGTGGTGTGACCTTGGGCTGAATTTGCTCCACTCCTGTAAAAATTGTGGCTGCAAACCAGCAAAGTGACAGAACTCCTGCCTTAAATGGGTGCTCACACATGCTGATCATCAGTTAATCAAGTGCATTTCATTTGTTGCACTAATTCCTAGAGAAAAGAATAGAATAGAATTCAACTTTATTGTCATTGCACATGCATAGGTACAGGGCAACGAAATGCAGTTTGCATCCATCCAGAAGTGCTTTAGTGATATAGATATATTACAATATATATTAGCAATAATATAGATATGTGAGTATATTACAGAATTGGGGTTATAATGTACACGGTATGAAGTATGTTGTGAATATTCTATAACTATAAGTATGTACAGGCTGTAGTGAGTACAAGCTATGTACAGGATATGAACAGGATATAAATATGAAAAACTATACAGAATATGAAATAAATAACTTTACAGAAATCTGAGATATACAGCTATATAGAAATGGGAACTATGCAAGTTGTAAACAGCTGTAGGATTAAAAATTATCGAATGTACAGAATGATTATTTACACAGAGCTATACAGTAGTGCAGTTAAGATAAGTGAGATATAATTCCTACAGAGGCTATATAAAGTGCTAGTGGTTGTGAGTGGTGGTTCAGTCCATGTTCAGTCCAAATAATTATGTACTTAGGTTTTCATAGGTTTTAGCTTAGTTTTGATTAAATAATTCTATGGTATAATTAGTCATATTAAAACCTGTCAAGAACTGCACAGTTTTTATTTTGTCCTAATGTGTAAAACCTTAGAATCGACAGACTGTACCTTGACCATGACCAGTTCAGGCCTGAATGTTTTCTGTTTAAATGTTTCTAGTGCTAGAAACATTGATGCAAAATGTAGAAAAGAAGTTTTCAGTATATGGACTGCTCATATTTCTTCAAAGAAACTGTCTGATCTGCAGGATCAGGACAGCTTGCTCCAAGAAACAAGATCTCGTTATACTGATACTCTTGGAAATGTCCTGGAATCAGCACTGGTGAGAATATCGTTTAGATGCGTTAGATGTTTATCCCTTAAGTTTCAGCAACCCCAGATATCTTGTCTCTCTGGCAAGTGTTAAGATGTCCTCGCACTTCTAAAACACGATAGTACAATTGCACATGAAATAAGGACATAAAGGACACTGACATCAAGCACATGACTAAAAATTGTTTACTAAGTAAATAATTATACCACTTGTTTGTTGAGAAGCACTCTGCTACATGTATTCATTATAAGAACATTTGGATTCCCTCAAAGTGATGGGCTGGAGACGGGTGAGAGAGTGACAGCTGTCTGGGTGGGAGGGTAACCACACTTGACACGAAGCATCAGCCAATTAGGGGCTCACAGTGGTGAGAAGACATCTCACAGACAGAGCGGTGGAGGAAGAGGTGGAGGCCACGCTTTGAGATGCTGATGCTCCAGGCCTGCGGTGATGAATGCTTCTCCTGGGTTGACTTAATGAGTTCAGGGACAGAATGATGTGAAAATGAATCTTTATTTAGCCAAAACAACTTTTCCTTACTCATGAAAAATTAACACATGGGAATATAATTGGTGATGCGCGAGAAGGTAACGCTTCAGCTCAAACATCAGCGAGCAGCAAGAACACAGAAGGAGGAAGTCAGCTGCCGCAGGCTGTCTGTTTCCAGAGCTTTGAGGTTTCCGATACACGACGCAGAGATCTGTGCGTAGCTCTGCTCAGTGGGGGTCCTGGTATTTGAAGGAAGGATTGCACTGCAGTATTTATTCACAGGGATACTAGATGCAAATTTAACCTCCTCTGATAAAGGCAAGAAATGTTCTGTGACACATTTTTAAACTTTCCTCCATCAAACCACAATCACTTTATCACAAGTCATCCTTTATAAAATGTTAATAAGCTGTAATTAAAGTAAATAAAGCTTTACTTTCCCTTCATAGACTGATGTTGAGCTATTGATATTTTTTGAAAGCTTGTGGAAAATCTACTTCCCCAGAAATCTTTGTGTTATTTTAGTCCTTTAACCCTTTAATCAGAAACCCAGGGAGTGGGCATAATCTAGAAAAGGGCTCCAGGACAATGGTGTTGATATGCATGCAAAACTTAATATAGTAAAAATGCATAACACCACAAACCCTTAAGCACAAAGTAATTAAAAAGCATTAAAATGCCTGAAACTAAAAACTTTTTTTTTTCATTTCTCTGATGATTTCTTTGTTTTTGAGTTAATTTAAGGGCTTATTTATGATCAAGTTGAACTAATTCAGTAACTGTGATTTCTCTATCATTTTTTGTATTGTTTTCACACATGTGACACCATCGTTAATGTGTGTGGTGATGGGAGATGTGAGTCTGTCAGGTGGAAGAGAGTATTGCATATACAGCCACTAAGGAAAGAAGTAAGACTGGAGGAACGGGAGTAAAGCTACCAGCAAGTGACGCCTGCTTTTCAGCTTCAGCCTTCCCTGCCCAGTAATCCTCTGTGGGCTAAGTCATCACACCCTACCCTACCCTAAATCTCTATATTGGAGAAAAGTGTGCAAGACTTTTGTGGGGAAAAAAAAGTTTTTGAAGTGTGTTCCCTGATTGCCATGACTCAGAAGAACAATTTAATCAAAAACAAAAAAGACATCATCTAATAATGACATAAAGGGATATGCATGCCTTTAAAATGGACCGCTGTAACACGCTGTTCACCAGAGTCAGTCAATCATCTCTTGTCTGTTTATTATTAGTCCAAAACGGTGCAGCGAGATTGCTGATTGGGACATAAAAAGAGCGATCGTGTTACTTCAGTGTTAGCAGCCTCGCACCAGCTCATTACACAATTGTATAAAGTGGCATTGCTTGTGTTTAAAGCTTTTAATGGTCTTGTACCTGTGTATGTGGTACACAGGCTGTGCCCATACGCTCCATCCAGATGATCAAGGGTATCTTCTTCATCACTCCTGATCATGTCGTGGCTGAAGCTTAGTTTAAAAGGGGCTCATGCTTTTGCTGTTGTTGCACCAAAACTCTGGAATGACCTCTGAGTGACCTCAGACATCAGCTATGACTGCTTTTAAATAAAAACTGAAGACAAACTATTTCTGACTAACTTTTGGAAAGAGTCTATCTCAGCTGCTAGGAATCTATTTATTATGTTTTATTTTAGTGTAAAGCAGTTTGATTTTAAATGTGCTAAAGAAATAACATTTACTAACTGACTTTCTTATTACCCCGATTGCCTAGGTTTAGTGTTAGGATTAGGGTTGTACCCTCAGTGGGCGTGTTTGCGGAGTTCTAGAGTATGGCCTGCTTTTCAACGATGAGAGCAGGTTAACCCTGAGCTCATGTGATAGACATGAAAGGGTCTGGAGAAGGCGTGGAGAACGTCATGCTGCCTGTAACACCATTCAGCATGAACAATTTTGTGGTGGATCAGTGATGGTCTGGGAAAGCATATCGATGTAGGGCTGCACAGACTTCTGCAGGGCTCTGTGCCATTCGAACCCTGTCTCTAGCTGTCTTTTGCAATGTGAAGTTTATTTAGTAGTGCGTGATCAAAGATGGGACTTTATAGAACAGCTAAAATATGGTTTTCATAACTTAACTAGCCAATACTTTAGTTTAATTTTTGCGTTGTAGAAGAAACCAGTTGAAATGTCATTAAAAAATAATAAAAAAAAAAAATCTTTAATAGCTTTTAAGATATTTATGTTCAAACATTACATCAGATTTTAATGAGCAGGAAAAAGGGGTGGCTGAAAACAGCTGGTTGGAACTTTGTAAAAAACAAAACAAAAAAACAATATCTTGAAAAGTATTTGATACATCAAGTACCATAAAATGGGAAATGGTATATGGTCGAGCAGAAAGTGAATGTGGTGCAAGGAGAGAATTCACCAGGTCCCCCCGTGTGGTTCTGGGATCTTTGCTCACCGTTCTCATGATCATTTTGACCCCACGGGATGAGATCTTGCGTGGAGCCCCAGATCGAGGGAGATTATCAGTGGTCTTGTATGTCTTCCATTTTCTGATGATTGCTCCCACAGTTGATTTTTTCACACCAAGCTGCTTGCCTATTGTAGATTCACTCTTCCCAGTCTGGTGCAGGTCTACAATACTTTTCCTGGTGTCCTTCGAAGGCTCTTTGGTCTTGGCCATGGTGGAGTTTGGAGTCTGACTGTTTGAGGCTGTGGACAGGTGTCTTTTATACAGATGAGTTCAAACAGGTGCCATTCATACAGGTAACGAGTGGGGGACAGAAAAGCTTCTTACAGAAGACGTTACAGGTCTGTGAGAGCCAGAGATTTTCCTTGTTTGAGGTGACCAAATACTTATTTTCCACCCTAATTTACGAATAAATTCTTTACAAATCCTACCATGTGGATTCATGGATTTTTTTTCCACATTCTGTCTCCCACAGTTGAAGTGTACCTCTGGTGCAAATTACTGACCTCTGTCATCATTTTAAGTGGGGGAACTTGCACAATCAGTGGCTGACTAAATACTTTTTTGGCCCACTGTACCTGCTGTTACCAGAAAGCATGTATGAAATCTCACCTACTATATAAAGTAAACTAAAAGAAAAAAGGGAGAGAAACCACAAAAAAGGCACGTGAAACATCGGGAATGTTTAGAAATGTTTTTATTGAGAATGAAAAGAAAAGCACAGAAACACTCATTTCAGCAAGCTTATGGTAAATCAAACAAATTAGTTCTCCCTTTTTGTTTTCTTATAAAACATTTACATCTAACAGTTCCCAACTGTAGAAACACATGGCCTACTTATAAAACACCCACAGTACATCAGTGATACATGACCGAACTACCGGAGCAACCTTATCTGGCACGGATGCAGCCCCTGCTGATTTACTCCGATGTTGTTTCTGAATACTAAACCTTCCCCTCAGGTATTAGGCGCTGTTGTTCTCATACCAGAACACTTGCTTTCAGGTCAGTTAACTGTGTTGGAAAAATCTCAGATACATTCAAAATTATGATTAAAACTTTTGACGTTCTCCACTATCATAAACTCCATGACAAGCAGACTGCACATTATGGAATCACAGGACTAATTAATGCATTTAACAAGTGACTAAAGCACAAATCAAAGCCAGCTAGTAGACAGTTGAGATAAGTAGCGGGATGGTGATATATTGTTTTCAACATTGTCATGAAATGTAGTACTTTGGGTTTGACATGTTTGACTCATGCAGAAGTGCTAATACTGCAGGACTTTTACCATGTGACCACGTGTTACACTGAGCCATAAAAGCAAATTCCCACTAAAGATGCTCTTGATAGCTGGCAATAAAAACATTTTGCAGCCATCATGGGATGTCTTAAGTGTATTTGTTATTGAGCCCTTTCAAAATATTGAGACTACTCAGCTTTGAGTAGTCTTCTTAAATTCATTTGAAAATTTTTTCTTGGTGTTTCGTTTAATCCTGGCTGTTCAAAGAATCGATCGGGTGTTCATAAGCTTGTCACTTAAATCAGATTATCAGATCATTTTTGTAAATCAAAGAAGTTATGCCTGCGATTTGAAGATAGTAATGAGAGCTTAAATTTGTATGGTTTAGTTTAGTTAGAGGAGAAAGGATATAACTCCCTTTCAAGGGATTGATTTTTGTATATGACGATCTAGAGGATTATCACTAAGAATACATGTATCACCATCTACAAACCGCTGCCACTCCCCTCCACGTCTTCCACTTCCACCGAGCGCTTACGCAGCACGGAGTTTCCCATTCTGGGCTGCACGGGCAGCTTGGCCTGGCAAGGGGCCCGGTACTGAGGCAAGCCGGTCTTGGTGGTATCCAGCTCCTCCGGGTCGTCTTGCTGGGCTCTGAGAGCGGCGATCACGTCCTTGTCCGAGGGGCTGAGAGTCAGGCAGCCGCAGGGACGAACGCCTTCGACATCCACTCCGATTTCTCCGGCCTCTCCAACCTCCTCCGGCTCATCCTCGACCGTCATGAAGGCATCACCCCACAGGCTTTCGCAGAGATCTCTGCCGTGCTGGTACATCTGTAGGTGTGCAGAACACAAAATTTATACAGATTATTTTTCTCTGCCATCCACAGAGATACAACCTTGACTTTTAGTGCCAGCATTCAGAATTCAGCTTTAATACCAAATATTAGAAAATAAAAAGCAAGTGTTTTATTACATCTTTATCATTTCTGCTGGTACCCTCACACAAACCACAGAGAAGCTTTATACTGCCTCTCTGCACTCACCTCCAACAGAACGGAGGTTTCATCCTGTTAAAAGGGAGTTTTTACTTCCCACTTTTGCTAATTGTTTGCTCATTTGATTGTTGGGGTTTTTCCCTTTACATCTGTAGGTTCTTTACCTTACAATAGAAAGCTCCTTGAGGCAACTGCTGTGATTTAGCACTACATAAATGGTAGGCACAAAAAGTCGGTACCTTACAGTTACAAGACTGAAAACACCCATGTGGACGTGCAGACCTTTTAATTAAAAAAATAAAATAAAATAATGAAAAGGGGAAAATGTTAACTAGATACCACCGCAAAGCATAAGGCGATTATTTTTTTCTATTCACAGTTTTCTGTAATGTTTAAATATTCAGATTCAGCACAATCCACTAATGCCCAGATTTGCATAAATTTCCATAACAGAAATCTGAACACTGGGTAGAGCTGGCTTCAGAGTTAGCGGTTCTTCATTTTGCTG